GATTTCAAATGGACCAAAAAAATTAAAATTGTTCTGTCACAATTAAAAACCAATCGAAACAGAATTATGCACGAGGAGAGAGCTAAGACAGGATAGAAGCCTAGGATTTTGGATGACTTTTGGATTATATTTAGCGGGTAAAATAGACCACAACTTTGAATACCTTTGAATTGTTTTGAATACCAATCAGGACAACAGAGAGGGGGCAAATACCCCGGTCAAAAACCGAAGGTAGCACTTGTGCAGGACAGTATGGCATTACTTCAAAATAAATCAAGAAAAATGGTGTTTGACCTAAGGAGGTTTTCCAATATATTGTAGTGTTGTACGGATTTGCGCTTTGTCTATATAAGAAATTACTAAATCCACTTTTTGTAAGCAACACTGAACTCAAAAATTAGTATTTGTTTTTGGTGGTTGAAAATCTTGCTAAGCAGTAACTGTCGTTCTGCTTTTTATACACTACACCACAACGTCAGGTCAGGGTAGTTCCTTTTGAAGATCTACATAGAATCACACTCTGAGCCGATTTATGCATTCCGTCCGTCTGTCCATATATTTTTGTAAACGAAGTACAGGTCGCATTTATTGCCCGATCCAGATGAAATATTGTACATGTCATTTGTTTGACCCAATTGAAATTGGAGATAATCGGTCAAAATTTAGATAGCTTCCACATATATTTTTGACTGATTTGCTTTGAATCGTGCACAAAACGCGTAATAGCACACCAAATAGTATGGGTCAAATTAGGCCTGAAAATAAGTATGACAATTTTGATAATATCGGTTCAGATATAGCTATAGCTCCCATATATATCCCATTTGTTATTTTCGATTCAGGGGAGGATAATCCTCTCATATATTAGTTCCTTTGGTCATTAAATTATAACTAATAATAGTTTTTGTCATTTAATTCTCAGAAATTCCGCATAAAAGATTTTATTTGTTATGTAAAGCTCAACTAAATATGCAAAATGGTGTAGGGTATCATAAAGTCGGGCCGCATGACTTTAAGACTTTCTTCACTGTTTTTTTTACTACAATGTATTGCATTTGTTGGCTTTGCTCATTGATGGACACAATTTTTGGAAGAATTCTCTTTTGGCAAGACTGAACATTATCGGTGCTAGCAATAGCATTTAGTGTTAGCATTTTAAATCTTGATATATATACTTTTTAATAGATGTGCGATATCATTTAGGTTTCTAACTCTTAAATTAAAACCAATGCCTGAAAATATAATCAGGTTATTCAAAATACTTAAAACCGATTAGTAGGTGAAGATCTATCCAGTCATTGTTCATAATAAGAATTGTGCCACTTATGTGAGCCAGAAGGGGTACCGTGCCAGCTAGTAGTGTATAATTGAATCTTATATGGAAACTTAAACTCTATATCCGAACCAATTTCCAACAAATTTGACAGGTGTTTCAATTCGGGAAGATTGTACGCATTTGGGGCTCAGTATCCCAAATCTGGCCTGTTGATAACATATAACCCAATACCGGAAAATGGATTGATTGTTTAACAACATGGAATCATTGATTTTGGTGAGTTTTTCTCTTCTCCTTAGTGCGACTCCACAAAATTCATCCATTTTGTTTATCGTAAAACCAATGGTTGTTGCTGAAAAATAAAACAATCACAGGCTAATTTATCGATGGAATAGTACATTGCGATGCCTTGGTTTCATCGAAGCACATGAAAGTGTCATGAAAGTCACAACGAATGTTGAAGAGCGAGGTCGTATTGATGGTTTGATAACAGACCACTGATAAAACCTATTTTCTCTTAATAAACACAAAATAGATATTAATGGAAGGCAGATGGTTGTGTATACTGTCGAAACCGAAAAAGTGCGATTTAGATAAGACTTTATCTAATTTTTAACGAAAATGATTTTGCAGATTATTTAATTTATCGTTGGTGCCATGCCTGCCATTTTTGACTTTTTGAGATGTAGACGATTTCTAAGGTTTTCTGGAACGGACTTTGCGAAGTATTGGTCAGTTACCCAATCCATGTATAGACATTTAAGTGTGTTTGTTCCATGCAATACAAAATGTATCGGAATTCTGTCAAGTGTATGGGTATGAATTGTAAAAAGTAAATATGTTTTTAAAAAAGACAGTACACATATATTTTTTTTCCAACAGAAACGTGTCTACATCTTTCAGGGAAAAGTTCACTCGCGTTGTTCATTAAAACTCGAGTCACAAATATGCATTTGTCAATGCAAACCGTAAAATGTTTTATTCTTCTTAAAATGATGTATGCAACACTTAAGTATAATCCCGATATTATGTATAAGCGGAGCATTCTTTTGCTTTCATAAAATTACAAAAAATTTAGGGAAGCGAAAATAAGACGTTTCCCCCCCCTTATTCCTTCAACCTTGTGGCTAACGAGGGCATATATCATTTGATATGGTACGTCATAACATGTTTGTCAAACTTATATCAAAGTCGGAATTTTTTTTTTGCAGAAAAAAATACATTTCTCATATTGAACGAATGGAGCACCCGATAAAATTCAAACTAAGCATAAGACATAGGCACAAATCGAAAATCTACAATACTGAACCAATTTTTTCCAGTACCTAACTCCCTCAAGCATGATATCTTTGACCTATTTTCCTTAAATCCCAATATTTGTATTTATATTAAACCAAGTTTGAAAATGGAACATATTTCCAAAATTTCGAGAAAAAAATTACACTACATGTGTGTATTATATAAATACAAAACGAATTGTGTTCATTATATATTAAAAACTTGGCCCAAGGAAATATTTATATGAGACTCAGGTCAGATGTGAACATGGAAAATATTGTCCCAGTTCTCGTCTGCCTCTAAATGGATTCAATTATTCCAGCATTAATTCTGCGGTATCTTCGGATATTGGGTATTTTGATCATTCCAAGCACATTTCTCAACGGGATCATTTGAAGTTCATGAGGGGTATCATACCCTTTGGTAACAAATTATCTAGTATTTCGCATTGCCTACATATACTGATGGATTGTTAACGAACAAAAAATATATACTACTTTCCAGAGAACGGCCCTTGTAAGCCATCATCCACACCAAATATGCCTGATGAGCCGCTTAACCAACGGCGAAACGCGTCGCATAGTGGTGAGTGTGTGATAGTGTCTATCTGGCTTTCCTTTTCACTGCAAATTCCTGATCATTAAGCTCGTCTTGAAAGAGAAAGAGAAAACAAACAAAAAATAATTCAGTTTAGGAACATTCGGACGTTTCGAATATCCAGCATGTCACTGAGCATATTGCCCTCCAGAAAATTGACCAACTTTACGCTCCTCATGGAATAATTTTCTGATTCGGTTTATGGATGTCCGTCCGGCCGCTTGTCTGTCCATGTATTTGTGTGAACAACGCAAAGGTCACATTTATTCCCCGATTGAAATGAAATCTCCTACAAATCATTTTCTTGGCCCAAGGACAACCCCTATTGGAAAAAGTAGGTCAATATTTAGATACTGACTGACTATATATATTTTCGTCCGATATGTCTATTATTATGCATCAAATGTGTAATATTAGACCACATAGGATGGAATTTGGCAAATGTGACCTAGAAGCAAGTAGGCCAATTGTGGTGAAGATCGTTTCAGATATAGCTATAGGTCCCATATATATTATTGGTCCGATTTGTTATTTTTGTCCCTCACAACTCCAACTGTGAACTCCATATTCGGGAAAGATACCAAATACAACTCGGAAATACATTTGTCAAATTTTATCGAGATCGGTTCAGATATAAATCCCATATATCCTATCTTGATCCTATTTAAAACACATATAACATACAATTAAATGCATATATATTGATGAAAATCTGTTCAGATATAAATATAAGTCCCATATATATATTATTATCCGATTTTGTATTTAAGTCCCTCACATCCATAAAATGCACTCCAAAACAATGATATTTGGTGTCAGTTACAAACTACTCTAATTTTCATATAGCTCTCATACTTATCTTAATGCGATTTTACGTTTATTGTGAACCAAAAGTGTAATATCAGTTCAAATGGGAGAGATTTAGTTGAAAATCGGTTCAGAAATAGCTATAGATCCGATATAAATGTTTCAATCTACTCAAAGTCGAGAGACACAAATGGCTTTTGTACTTTACCTAAATTCCCCGTATAAACTTTTATTTGTTACGGGAAACTCTACTAAATATGTATAGTGTTGTAGGGTGGCATAATGTCGGTCCCGTCCCACTTTCTTTACTGATTAATTTCAAAATATTCTCGATCTAGAATCCTAAAACTTAGAGCACTATTTTTAAATTCATCATGCCTTACTCTGTTTGCACACTTGTCAGACATACATATATGCCAGTTTATACATATACATATGTGCATGTTATAAATACATGTATCGCATTTATGTCGGTATGTAGGCAAGTTCATAAATAAAGCGTAATCGAACGAAAATGCATCAAAGTTATCTTCTTCTTCTACGTATTGTTTTTTTCCTTCGATGTTTTGTTGATATTTCGCATTTGTCACCCAACAACAACTATGTCAAGCCATAACCGCCACATCCACCACCACCGCCACCTCTACCATCATCACAACTTATCTATCGCCACTCCATTCCAGCCAACATCGTCATTGTCATCAGGGTGGCCAGCATGTGGGTGCTTCTTGGCAAGATAAGAACAATTTTACCATCACTCAATTCCTGTTTTTTTATGTTTTGTTTTGTCGCAGCAACAACAACAACAGCAGCAAGAAGGAATCACTCAACAGCACTTCACTCACTCAAAGCGTGTTTAGTGTAGTTGTTGTTGTTGTTGTTTGGTATAATGCGGCATGCGCAATGGTCGGCGAAAAGCCCTCGCCAGCATTTATGTGGGTTGTTTGGGACCAACCCACTTTACCGCTCTTGAACGCGTGCTGCGTAAGCCAGTGAAGCTAAAGCAACAGTTGTACCAAAAACAACAACTCACTGCGGACACTCGTAAGAGGACATCGTCGTCATACTTGTTGCTCCTCCGTCGTCGATTTACCGGCCGTCGTCGCTAGTCGTTGCTGCTCGTCGGCATACTCGTCTTGTGTTCATCGTGCGACGTCACTTGTTGCTGACGGCCTGGCCCACTCTCGCAAAAGTAAAAGCTCGATTTGCGATTGTTGCGGCATTCCTGGGACATTCTACAAGTGGCGGTCGCCATCATTTCCGGTTAAGTGGGCATCCGTTTAGTTGAATTTGTACATTGGCGGAAGTTGGTCGCTGGCTGTATATCGGTGAGAATTTTAACGGTTAACATCAATTTCGAACAGAATCGGATGGATTAGAAGTAATACAACTATAATAATAGTGTGAAATAAATACGAATTGAATAGCAAATAATGTGAAAAAGAAAAATGAAAATAGCAAATTAGCAAAAATATTGCAAACATCACAATACGGAAAAAGTTCGAAATTCAAAATTACGCATCAGAAAAATAAGTTCGTATATCTTGATGCATTAAAATAAAATGTTGAAATTCTCTAACTAGAACTCAAAAGTGTGTCCCTGAATAAAAGTGGAAAAATGTTATAACTCCCCTGCGTTGTTCCTAAAGAAATACGAAACTCTAACCGCTTTATTCAGAAGGTAAGTGGGTGTCGGAACATGATAATGATAGACATTTTCATAAAATGGAGTTGTAGAATTAAAACTTACCACATATTTAATCCAATTTCTAATCACATCTGTAAAAAAACAAGTAAAAATGGTGATCTGCCGTTCCGAGCTTTTTATTCTCTCCGCCAGAGAATAGAATTCAATCATGACCACATCGATTAGCCTTAAAACATATAATAACGAATATTATTGTCAGGTATTTTTTACCGATTACGAACAAAAAATACCAAACTTTATTACATTGAATATTCCAGAACTTGATCTAAATTTAACCATTTTTAAGAGCACCTCTTTCACCTATAAGAATTTGGAAAAAATAAAATCTATAGTTACCGAGATATGAGGCTCTGCATCCATCAGAAACTACCATTATCTGCTGTGCCACCACTCAATATTTTGAGATTGAGAAATAAGAGATCTTACACAATTCTATGAACTGAAACTGCGGTTCGGGTATTTTGTCGGAGAAAGAAAGGATATATGTAGCGGATATCAAGCAGATACACCAGCGATTTGTGTTATTAAACCGTTTAAAACAGCCAAAATGTTCCTGAGCAAAATAACAGTTTTCGATCCTAGGTCTCTTTGGCCGAAAGCCGCTTTGAACCATTTAAGGCCGATCTAGCCGCTTTGAACCATTTAAGGCCGATATAGAATATATCGATCCATTTCTTCTGGTACCTCTTCCCTAAAAGTTCAAATAGTTCATATATAACGAGTCGAGCGCCCGATATATTGTCAAAATTCGGACCATGGTAATATTTATACCTAACTTAGGTCTGGAGCGAACATGGAAAATATTGTGCCACTGTCTCTTCCAATAGTTAAGCAAGCTATAAAGTATCAGTCGGTTTTGGCGACAGATATATACCCTCAGCCAATGATTAGTAATTGAAATATTTTTTTCAATTGTGTTATGATTATCCACAATGTTGACCTTTTATGAGAAAGGTTCCAAACGTGTGGACTGCTATTATCCGTTTCGTATCTGATATAAGTCTGATATAATATTCCATATTCTCAACTTCTTCTTCTGTTGTCAAAAATATTTGGATGTATGAAATTTGTAGAGAATCTGATGCTTATTTCGCGTTTTATGAGAAATAAACATTTTCAAATTTTTAACCCTTTGTGGAGGGAGGTATCAGAAGGTGTGCCCATATACATATATTCCATATATACACATTATCTTGTGTTGATATTTATTTCGTATCATTTACAATTCAAAATCCGTACATTACAATATTTGTACTGACATTAAATATTATGTAAATTTGGGATATGTGGTACAATTTCTTTGGCACGTTCCCCCGAAAAAATTATCAAATGGTGAGGGTATATATTTGTCGGAACACTGATTGAAATGTTCTAACTTGTTGATGGTATAAACAGAATCAACCATGTATTTCCCATGAAAATCAACATATTGGTGCACTAAATTATTCAATAACAATTGATCCCTGGAAACTAAATTTTGCTTAAATTTATCAATTCATTAATTTCATAAAAAACAAACGAAGTCTTCGCCTTGGTTCAAAATGATTTGACCGTTATAATATTTGTATGACACTTAATTAAGGTGTAGCAATGGTCAACAGGGCGTCAAAAGAATAATGGAAATATTTCAAAATTGATTTGACAGTTCATTGTACCAGCAGCTGCGTCGATGCGACTACCTTGGTCAGAAAATAAAAAGGGACCTTTTGTTTTGAACTGAAATAGGCTGTTGTTTGTTACAGAATCACGTCAAAGTTGTATGTGTATTATGGGGAATTTACATATGAACAATTTCAACACATCAATTATTTGTCGGCGCATCTTGCCGAACCGTATTCTTCAAATGTTTTCAGGATATTTTATTTTACAATCTTTTGATAAATTTTAAATTTATTGTGGTTGCAGCACAACTCATAATCCAATTTAATCAAAAAATTAACAAATGAAAGCTCTCGTCCATTTCAGAAGAACTTTCATATGCCCATCAAAGCTTTTATGAAATGGACGAGAGCTGTCAAAAATTTTATAATAGCCCAAATTACAAGGAATATGTTTGAATACGAACGTTTCGAGTGAAAGTCGGAAAATCTGTGTTATATTTGCACAATTACTTCATCTATAATTTATTTTGGAAGAGAAAGTATAATATAAATGTTATCGAAAGCAATATATGACTTAAATTTTCACAAATTATAAACAATTTTATTATAAACCACTTTGAAATAAACCTTTTAAAAATAGGTCAATAAATGCTGAGGTATATTATTCGCATCAGCTATTTCTGCTATTAGGTTCTTGCAATACTTAATTAAACAAGTAAAAAGCAGCTACATTCGGCCGCCCGAACTCCTAATGCCCTCCACCATTTGGAAGGAACTTGCAAAATGTTAAGAAAATGTCGTCAAAAACTACCTCTCGACTGAAAGCTATATACGAAGTCGTGGACCTGCGTAAGTAATTTTTTGTCATAGGTAATGGTACCCATTAAACGTGGACCGACATGACCCATTTTATCCTGTCTTCTGAACAAATTCACATGTGTTCAACATTTTAGCCTATCTCAATTCATTCGAAAAATAGCGTGAATACAACAGGCAGACGGACATCGCTACATCGACGTAGCATTTTACTCTGATCAAGAATATATATACTTTGAGGGACATGACATGAGTATTTCGAGGAGCTACAAGCGGAATGGAGAAGTTAATATACCCTCCATAATATGGTGGAGGCTATAAAAATTGCTCGAAAAATGTGGCTTAATTCATCAAAATGCCAAAACCAAAACGTTGTTCTGCCAACAGAATTAGATCCAATTAATTGGGCTTAAATCCTCAAAAGCGAATATTGGCAAATAACTTTATATTAGGCTACCTAAATCTTGGGCCGACGTTGCCTTCGAACAAAATACATTACAACAGACGGATAGGCAACGTTATACCGCATTTATTCAACTGAATATTGACCAATTGGCTTTAATGGATCCAGATCTAGATCAAACAAACAAATGTTACGAACCAAAAAGAAAAAGTTCCATCAAGTGTCCGTACAAAGAGCAATTAGTGCAATAATGTACCTTAAATGTAATGTCTGGCCTAAATTATTTTTATTATTTTTTTATTAGTTTCTTCGGCTTGAGGTCATTTGATTTCTTTTTCATTCGGTTTTTATTATGAACTAGCTGGCCCTGACCGCGTTGCCGGCCCGTACTTTTAGTCTTTAATGCATAGTTTTTAAAGCATAATAATTCACAAATCTGGCTCACATAAGTGGCACAATTTTCAGTATAAATATATAAATACTAGCTGGCCCGGTCCGCGTTGCCGGCCCGTACTTTTAGTCTTTAAAGCATAATAAATCACAAATTACTCCAATTTTGATTATAAGTAAAAGCATTCAAATGAGCTATAATTTGAAATTTGTATTTCCAACGTTTAAAATCCCGTTGTGCGTGGTATTCAGTTTTGTCCACCTCATACTTGAAGGCAGAATTTTGTCAGAATAGCCAAAAAATTACTCTTTTGCTCCGATTACCGTAAGATGGGCATTAATTGTTTGTCATTTAAATTGTGCGGCGGAGATCCAATAAAGTTCCTTCATAATTTCGTATTTTTTCATGTTTCTGCCACAATTTCCGGCTGAATGAGCCCCAGATTGACATTTCGGAGTTTATTTCATATAGACGTACATCCCAAATCTACGTTTTCAACCAATATTCTCTTGGGGGTTACAAATTCAATAGAATACCAAATTTTCTTTTCTGACCACACATTGGTTGGGAAAGTGGACTTGGGGATATACTAATGTGGGGACTATACTTAAATAAATTCCTATGAGGATAATTATCTGTAAGATGATTTTCTACCCCAGAAGATGGTTTCTTCTTAAATTATCAACATAAGCTAAAATTAGTACGAAAAATATGGTTAAAATGTAGAATATACTTGAAATCGGGTTGTTCCGATATCAGGGGTTATGATCCATATCATGACCTGGCAAAGCGATTAAAGGTATCTTGAATGTTTAGGTAGAATTTCTATTTTGCGTTCTTTATAGTCGGTATTTGACTGATTGCAGTCCCAATGTATTTTGCATTTTGAGTTCTCATTCGACAATTTATTGTCATATGAAAGAAGCAGGTCCACTTTTTGAAATTAACCCCATAACGTTTCTTCGGTCATTTTTGTTTGTTTAAATGTGTTCGCATCTTCCAGCTGAAGCACGATGTAGGTCCTGGAGTAGAAAGCATTTAACATCGTATTGCGCCCTCATTTCATTTTTAATATTATTCATTCAGAATTCAAAACAATAAAAAATGTACACTTCAATATAGAAAAAAAAAGAAAAAGAGTCTTCAACTGGTTCGCTGATTTTTTTTGCAGCAAATTTTTAAAGGTCCTTACGAAGTTTGCTATTTATAGATTTTATGTATTTATTGGGTATTACGAATGAATACATAAAATCTATAAATAACAGTTTTATCCGTTGTGGCTTTATACCACCCAAAAAAAAAAAATTCACATCATATTACAATTCAAAAAAAAAAAAAAAAAAACACTACAAATGTACATTCGAAAATAGCAAGTCAAAATGGAAAAAAATATGCAATATAAAACATTACTATTGTACATTTTAAAAGTCAAAATGAAAATGTTCAAATTTCACATTTTTACGCGTTTTTTTTTTTGGATTTTATTCTTTTCTGCCAAGAGGCAATTCCGAATTTGTCTAAATCGTTAAAATCAGACCGGCGGTCTTTATGTTATAAGAGTAGTAACTAACACAACTTTCTTTTACATATAGAGTAATAATTCTCAAACCGATATCTTCACTATTTTGGCAAATATAAAGATTTTAGATAAATCGTAATAGTGGACGTAAAAGGAGGCGTGGTCAATATTTTTTCTTTAAAAACCTAACTCGGGGTATGACGAACGTTTGTACAAAAAATTGTGCATATCGGTCCAGCCGTT